CCAGTCGCAGCTTCTATGGGGCACATTTATCATGGCTACCGTTTTTAGCTTTGCACGCTTTTGACCTGCTGCACAGCAGCAACGCGCGTGCCACCAGCAACACAAGCAACAGTCACAGCAGCAACACCAGCAGCAGCAGCACTAACAGCAACTCTTACAGCAGCAACACAATGGCAACACGAAACCTTCCAAGAGCTGAACTTGCTCAGTGATCTTTGATCTTATCTTGGCCAACAAGCGCAGGTAAAAGTGTTATACTGAAGATAAGTCCACAAAGAAAAAATGGTCGTCATTTAGTAGTAGAAACTTTTCAGATAAATTTAAAATAAATTGAAAATATTTTACATTTTAAACTGTTAATGCAGCTTGCCTAGGAATTAAAAAACAAACTCAACGAGGTCTGGCATTCCATATTCGGACCATTATTGGCCAAGTTATGGACATAATACTATAATTTTGAGGAGAAAATCTGGCATACCCAATTTTTGAATTTTCGATAAGGGGTAACATCGTCTTTTTTTGGAAAAATTTGACATTTTAAACGGTGAATACAGTTTTACTGCAAATTAAAAAACAAACTCAACGAGATATGGCATTCCGTATTCGGACCAATATTGGCCAAGTTATGGGTATAGCCCACTGACTTTAAGGGGAAAATCGGAGATAACCAATCTTCGCATATTCGATAAGGGGTAACATCATTATTTTTTGAAAAAATGCCAAAAATTTGTCATTTTAAGCTGTGAATACAGTTTTAGTGCAAATTAAAAAACAAACTCAACGAGATATGGCGTTCCGTATTCGGACCAATATTGGCCAAGTTATGGGTATAGCCCACTGACTTTGAGGGGAAAATCTGAGATAACCAATCTTCGCATATTCGATAAGGGGTAACATCATTATTTTTTGAAAAAATGCCAAAAATTTGTCATTTTAAGCTGTGAATACAGTTTTACTGCAAATTAAAAAACAAACTCAACGAGATATGGCGTTCCGTATTCGGACCAATATTGGCCAAGTTATGGGTATAGCCCACTGACTTTAAGGGGAAAATCGGAGATATCCAATCTTCGCATATTCGATAAGGGGTAACATCATTATTTTTTGAAAAAATGCCAAAAATTTGTCATTTTAAGCTGTGAATACAGTTTTACTGCAAATTAAAAAACAAACTCAACGAGATATGGCGTTCCGTATTCGGACCAATATTGGCCAAGTTATGGGTATAGCCCACTGACTTTAAGGGGAAAATCGGAGATATCCAATCTTCGCATATTCGATAAGGGGTAACATCATCATTTTTTGAAAAAAATCCCAAAAATTTGGCATTTTAAGCTGTGAATACAGTTTTACTGCAATTTAAAAAACAATTTCAAAGAGATATGACATTCTGTATTCTGACCATTTTTGGCTTTGTGATGGGCTTGGGAAAACCAGGATTGACCAAACTTCGAACATTTTTTATCAGGGCTTATATTTGTTAAAAATTTTATACCAAATATTTGTAATTTTAAATGCAACTTTGTTAAAGATAAAATTATAAGCTCATCGACGGTTTTGTTATGGTAAAATTATTTTTTTTTGCGAAGGAAAATTTTGGATTCCTTGCCAATATCTGGAATATTTTTTGACTTTCCCAGAATGACAATTAAGGAACTATATTTGCAAAATTCGTCCAAGTGCTTTAACTTATAAATTAGTCACCAGTCTTTAATAGGAGGGATCCATATGCTTTCTCTCTCTGCCTTAAACTGGTTAATTGAAATTTCACATTTTCCAAACTCTTTGTAGGGTTCATTAATCGCTTCCCGTTCTCCAGTCTTCTTCAGATGCATAATTTGGGCACGCCCCAAACATGTTGCAAGTGCCACTTTTGGGCTGTTTCCACCCAGATTCCCCCTTCATTTTACCCTTTACTTGCCACATTTGTTGTCGCTCCTTAATGCGTTTTTAAAGTGCACGAGCCCCGCCCACAGGGCGTATGCAACATTTGCAGTTATTCAGTGCCGGCAATTAGCCAGCGAATGTCATAAATGAACCACCACCAGCACCAGCAGGGCCACTCAGCTGAGCTGTCAAAAACTACGCCAACTAATGACAGTGCGATTGGAACTGGAATTGGAATGGGAATGGGAATGGGAATTGAAATGGGTCTTCGGATGGAAAACGGAAAACGAGCCATGGGATTGGTTTGTGGGATTGATGCTGGGCAAGATGTAAGCCAAGCGAGGCAATTACACATGCAAATTGCGGGCCACAAACCTCAAAACTGGAGTCTCGCCGCGAAGTGAACACCATAAATCAGTTGTCATTGCCAGATCTTGGTTTGTCTAAGCACACGTCAAATTGCACTCGGTGCGGGGAAAATGGTAACTCTGGGGGGGAACTTCATTAGCACGAAACATAAACGAGCCATCATTAACATTTTTTGATAATTAACAGTTTAGCTAGGAGCCCACATTCTAAGAGAACTGTGATGGAAACAAAAACAAGGCCTAAAACTAATTGGCAAAAAATGGGAATTGAATTTGGGGTTTAAGAACAGAAATAGTTTATGATAACTTTTTAAGATTCAACTCGAAAATTCTATTAAAAATCATGAGAACATTTGAAAATAGTAGTTATTATTTTACTTAAAACCACATCTTGGAACTAAAAATTTTATTACCTTAAACAGAAATTCCCCATCTTCTTGCTGAACTAGTTCTAAAAACCTAAGAGGAAACCTTTATTTCCATTCCATTTTCAATCTTCTCCCACAATAACTGGTTTGCCTCTACCACACCTGCCCCTTAACCCTGCACCCTCAGTAAACCACATCTTGGCAACACGCACAGAACTTCATCTGGAATTGCAGCTAGACCAGCGACATGTTGCCGATGTCGCCCAGCAGCAGCAATTGCTGCTGACGTCGACGCGGCGACAAAAAACACGCTGCCAAGTGATGCGGCGCACAGCAGCAGCAGCAACAGTAGCAACTGGCGACTTGTGGCGCGCTTAACCGCGTGGCAGCAGCAGCAACAGCAACAGCAACATCAGCAACAATAGCAGCAACATCAGCACCTAGAACCGAGCTTCGTATTCGGCTTCGGCTGCTCCTCGTGAGTTCTTCTTCTGAAGATGTTGCTGTCGCTGCTGACTTAGAAACCGCAATGGAAAACCCCTTCTAAACCAAAAAAATGGAGGAAAAAAAGAAAACCCCGTTTGCTCTCGTTAAAGTGCCAACATGTCCAGTTGCTTATCAGTCAACTCACTTTTTTCCGCTTGTCATAAATTATGAGAACTGTTGCAGTTTTATGGCCGCCTTTGTTTACACAGCAGGCAGCCAAGGCATACTCCCACACGCACACACTCGCGGCCACACTCATTCGCACTCACACACACATGTGCAGAGAGAAAATTGAATGCAAAAATTCATAATTTCAATCTTAATTGCCCTTAACTTCTACTATTAAATGATCAACATAAATTTTCTCATTCTTGTACCAACAAATTTTAATGCAAAAGTTTACAGCATTTTCTCTCTGTGTACGAATATTTAGTGCCCTTACGGAAGACTCACGCGTGGTCGCGACGATAACTCATCCAAGTCACGCCGTCTGCCGCGGTCTCCGGATCGGATCGTTCCGCTTGCCTGGTCCCTGGAGTTCATCTAACAGCGGGAGGAGCCATACCAAAAACCGCCTAGCACTTCCTGCCGCCAATCCCTGTGGCAAGGTCCCCACACCTCCTTTTAAGAATTCCCCCTCCCCAGCTTCATCTTTGCAAATCATTTTTGAAATGCAGCAACGCACGCTAGAAATGAGCTCGTTTGAAATCCAAACATTTTCACTTACCTCACCCCTTTTCCGCAGATTTTCCACCGTTTTCCCTTCAGCTCACTTATTCATTGGTGCGTGTTGGCAAATGCCAAACATTTTTAGATGCGACTGCCAACTGAAGCTTGTAAATACTTTGGAGTTGTGCAAGAAGTGGAGAAAAGATTTGCTGCCATTCGCGGTATTCACTGTTTGTTGTTGTTGCTCTTCTCGGGTATTTGCTGTATGCGCCTTTTACTAGCTGCGATTGGCATTTCAACGGCAATGGGTCTGAGTTCCTGGAGAGCAGCAGGGCTGGGGGAGTTTCCCTCCAAAGTTGGAAATGCGTGAGGCAAACATTTTTAATGCATTTTTAATTAATTTTTTGCTCCGTCAATGGGCTAAAGGGCGGGGCAAAGGGGGCGTGGTGAGTCGCGAAAGACAAAGTTGCCACTTTAGTTAACAGTTAAAAGCCGGAACTTTCCTCTACAGTGATTTTCTTTTAACTGCCTGTGAGGCAGAAGACAAAGGGAACTTTAAGTACATATTACTTAAACTTCATTTTGTTTAATTTTTAGTATAAGCTTTAATTGCCTATCTTTTAATTATAACTGCACTTCCTTAAACTCTACAAATCTCTTACTAATGCCTACCTCTTCAGTTGATTACTGCCAATTATTAACCACCAGTTAGTTCTTTCAACTCATCTTAACCCTCTTTGTGAGTGCCAACTTACCGCAAATGCTGAATGGCGTGGCAATAAAATGTTTGCCAAGAATCATAAAAATCAAGAGTCCATCTAAGAACAACTCCTAACTATCCGACCAGCACGAACCCTAATTGAGCCATCAATTAATTAGTTAGGAGAGGCAAACGTATTTGCAGAAATAGTGGAAATTATCAATTTCAGGCGGCAGAAGTGGGCATTAAAAATTATGAAGCTTGAGGTCGTAAAAAGCGGTTCTTGGTCTTATCATAAAAGATAACAAACCGCTGGCAAGTCGTAAACGGCTGGCTACAAATGTGGAAGCTGGAAAGTGGAACCTAAATGGCCCACTTGCGATCCACAAACAATGTCCGTGTGAATGGAAGGAAACTGGTTGCTGCTGCCGGCGTCGTCGTCGCTGTTGCTGTTGCTGTTTCTGTTGCTGGTGTATATGTTGCCGTTGCTGCCAGCTGAATGCCTGCCCTGGCCTGGCCTGGCCTATTGAATGTGCATCAAAATTTATGTGGCCTTTTTTAGTCGTTTGCGTTGAGTCAGCGGAAGCGAACGTCGTCGTCGGAGTAGCAGCAGCAACATCGCAGTAAATATCGCAGCAACATCAGCAGCATTCGTCGTATGTTGCTAGTTTTCGGTTGGAAAATTGCAAAGGCAAAGAGACAGGTTGCCAGGCGGATTAAAATTGCAGCCTATTTCGTAACAGTTAAAAAGTGTGTGTGTGTGTGTGTGTGCTTAGTTTAAGCCATTGCGAAACTAGTGTTGACAAAAAAGAAAAATAATAAAAAAAAAGATCAAAGAAACCAACAACTTTAGTGACCCCAAAAAAATTAACATAAATTAATTGATTTATGCCTGTGACCTTTGGAAGTGAACTGCTGTGAACACCTGTTGCTTTCGATGCTTCAGGATGGCTGGATGTTCGCTGGAAAAGTAATATTTATAAAAGGTAATTAAATAATTATGCAATCATCTCAATCTAAGCGCCCGAGTTAGTTGTTGGAAATTAATCAACTCGTGGGCAGGCATAAATATGCAAATTAAATTGAGGAAGCCGGAGATTGTTACACTTTGCTGGTCAGTCGAAGGAGAACATGTTCTGCGGTTGTCTTTTAGTTTTCCTCCATGTTCTTTTTTTCTTGGCCAAGCGTGAGAATATTCACTGGGCATTAATTAGCTGGAGAAATCAACATAAAGCCATCGGTTGTGGGATTTCTTTGTGAGCTGCTTGGCTTGCATGTGATTGTGGCCAACTAATTGGTGGCGATCGTAAAGGAAATAAACACGCTATGTGGGGGAGAGAAGGTATTCGAATTGCAATTGGTATTGGTATAGGTAGTATTGGGAGGTATTTCACAAATATCTAAGAACCTATTTAACTAGGTGTGTTTGCCTTAAAGTGCCCGTGAGCGGCATAAATCACACCCCTGCTCCGTTGGCTGTATTCTGGCCATGTTTGCACAGCGTGGCACTAAACGCAGAGACCCACTCCATAGACTCATTAAGGTTTTAATTTACAAGTTTAACTCGAGATTTAAACACCGAGATTTATATGCGTGCCACAAGAGGCAATAATCAACGGCAACAACCCGCAATCACGTACGGTAACAAACGAACCCACGAGCAACATCACAACAGCAACATCAACACCACCAACAGCAACAACAGACGTCGATGTCCACCTACGCAGATTGCTTAAACAAACCCTCAATGAGGAGGCCCGTGTCGGAATTGTGTCGGTCGGTAATCGAATATGCAACTCATGGGGGGAAACTTTAACTTTAAGACAAAACATGACAACAGCAACAACAAGCTGCAACAGCAACACAAACAACACAAGCAAGGAAAGATGAAGATTTGCGCAAGCAAACAGACATTTGGTAGGGAAAAAAGGATGTTCGCTATTAAGGGAAATATAGTCATGGCTGGAATCTTGTGAGATTTGAAATTCACTTTTCTTAGTCAAGATATTATTTAAGAACCATTTTTGCACATTTGATCCTTAATTGAAGCACTAATGCACTAACTATTGAGTTGGGTTATTAAATTAAATTTATTGCAACTTTGAATCATCTTTTAAAATGTCATTACCCCAAGTTAGAGTAGAACATAAACCTAAATTACAACGTTGATTAAGCTCGCCCAAAATGGGCTTTGGCTGAAGCCTGACCTTACACAACACCACTTTCGACAGCAGCAACATCGCCAGGAGTAGCAGCAACAGCAGAAGCAACTGCAGCTTACACGCACCTGCAACCTGCAACAGCCGCCAATCATTCGAGGATGCGGATGCAGCGACGACAGCAACTCTTGGGGACTAGAGCAACACGTGCATGTGATTTGGAAGACAAAAACCGTTCTAATTTCTCAACTGTCAGCTGAGAGAGGTCTCCACTTGTCCCCCGGCAAGTTGCAACTAGCAACTAGCAACTTGCAACCCCAACTCGTTAGCTGGCTGTTGCCATAGCAATTATGCAGCTGGGCCTCACAAAAGAAGGTCGACGTTGCTGTTGCTGTTGCTGCTGCTGTTGCTGCTGCTGTTGCTGGTGTGTTCCGGCTCTTTGGCTCTGGCTCATGTCTTCATTTTGGACTTTTTGCAGCAAGTACACATGTTGCTGGCGTGCTCGAGCAGCAGCAGCAGCAACGCTTTTTGTTTGTTTGTTTATTTGTTTGCATTGGCCAGCACTTTTGGCCTTTGGCGCTGGGATGTTAACCCTAAACCTGGCTGCCTTTATTAAGCCACCGCGACCAAGTCACTTGCACTGCACCAGCACCAGTACCAGCGACAACAACAACAACAACAAAAACAACTGCAATCTAGGCGCTTTTTTAATAGTTTTTAGCTGCAAACACGTTTTTGCTCCGACCCTCTGGTGTTGACGTCGCCTTTGGTTTTCCATCGTTTACCTCCGTTTTTCTCTTACCACCTCTAATTTGCACCGCTTTAATTTTTACTTTTTATTTGCAACACTTGTCGTTTAAATGCAGCAGTAGGAGCAGGAGCAGGGGCAGGAACAGCAGCGCAACAGCAAAGTGTGGCCAATAAATTAAGCGAAGCCAAAAAAAGGAGACACACCGACTCACAGAAATATCATCAAAAGCCCAAGTTGCTTGGGGAAATTATCTATCTATGTGTGGCAGCCAGAGGTTCTCCGAGTCCGAAAGACTCTTGGGTCCCCAGATCCGGCTCCTCGGTCTCCCTAGTCTACCAAAGACTCGGAGGTTCCGTGCACAATCGCAACAAATGGCATTTTTATTGATATTTCGCTCGGTTTGCTTGGCAGCCGCATGTTGAAATATGCGCGCCACCTGTTGATTTTGTTTTTCGATTGCAGGAGGAGTAGGTGAACCTACCTCCTCTAAATATATATATATAGAAAGATCGGTGGCTGGCGGGGTCTGCTCGTGATTTGCGCTGCAAATTAAAAGCGAGGGCGATGCATATAAATAGCAATTTGGACAGGCGAATTAAGGTAAACGACTGCAGCAACAACAAATCTCGCAAAATACCAACCAAGGAGTTGGTTGGAAAAAGAACTCGGATCGTCGAGTTGTCTTGTCACATAATGGAGTGGAATTATATCAACGGCGTGACTTTAATTTTCAAAAAATTAAACAGAGGTGGGCAGGAATGCCAAGCTAGCAGCAGGCAATCAAGTAACTCAAACAGAGGAATAATTTAGGATGGGTAGTTAAGCAAGGAAGAGGAAAAAATACACAAGCTATACTCTTTTTTCCTGTTTACCTTTTTACTCAGACTTGCAACCTTTTAATTAAGAAAGTATATTAACTAACTAATAGATAAAATTATGACATGAAATGGTTAAATAATAAAAATGTCTTTAATGCATTTTCCTTATAATTTTGATAACAAACAATCCACAACTCTGTTAACTAAATATGCCATTTCGACACCTATAAAAAGTCTCAAGATCACCCTTCGAAAATGTAAATGATTTCCCCGAATTAACCTTTGGAACAAGCTCTTAAAAAATTCAAGTGAACCATCAAAGTGCGACTGCAGTCCTCGAGAAGTGGAAACTTTTTAACTACCGAAACTCGCAACTAAGTAAATTCCAAGTTTATCAGCCAGCAGCTTGCCCACTCGAAAGTAACTTTATCAGACGGCCTGCATCCAATTAAAGGTTTTTCCGAGTATTTAGTGGATGCATTTTCGTTTGCTCCAATAAGATAAGCCAGGGGGAAATGCAACTTCAGGCCCAATAAACGCATGGCTATTGACAGAACGAAAACGACGACCACGACGATGACGACAGGTAGAGATGTAGATAAAGCGCCTGATAAGCAGCAAATTTGACAGCCATAAAGCAAATAACAACCGACCGACCGACAGGTAAGAGATATACAGCATGAGGGAACTTAAATTACACTGCACTGAAGGGGGGAACTATGCTATGAAAATTAATGAAACCAGTTTGGAGCATTTTTTATTGTTCGTCTGTCGTTTAATTAAAAGACAATCAAAGTCGGGACCGCAGCTGGATAGCTGGGTTAGCTTTGAACAAAGGCCTGGAATGGTAACGAATATCCAGCGGATGGCAAGCCAAGAGTTCATCAAAATCAGGAGCAACATCAAAACCTGCAAGATACCAACTGCAAGCTTCGTGATCTCAGCTCTCAGATTCAGATCCCCAATCCCAAAAATAAAAAAAGAAGGAATCGAAAAGCAAAGGGGAGCGGAAGACAGAACCTGCTCCGGGATTCTTTATCGACATGTTTATGCGTTCCGTTTGCCCCCGAACGAGAAGTCCGACAAATGTATAAATATTTACACGAAATATTTACGATTAGGAGATGGCCAGGCTAGCCTGGCAGCAGCGGGGGTAACCGCAATATAGCCGCCTCTTAATGAAATGCTAACGATATTCATTGGAAAAATCACAAGCGTAACGAGCCCGGGGAGGCACAAAAACCGCAGATGCCTGGCCAGAGATCTAGAGTTGAAAATTTCAGAGTTTTTAGAGAGAGAGAGCAACGTTGTTGCAGCAACAAAGGAAAATTATGTAAATGCTGGGAAATTGTTTGGGCCTCAACCCGCCAATTTTCACCGAACATTTTCGGCAAATCAATTTCAATTGCCTGCCTCAGCCCGGCTATAATGTCCGGAGGCGTATTTTGAAGCTATAGCCATGGATGTGGGGCGTGGCAGGGCATGGCTTATAATAATAATTGAATAAATTGAAGCTGCAATTGAATCGAGGTTGAGCCCGGTTGGGCAATACTGGCAGGTGTAATTTGGCCAAGTGGAAGCGCTTCGGTTTCGGTTTCCGTAATGAAAATGCCACTTTGTTGCTGGCAACAGCCTGAGGTTATTGCCAGGTAATAAATGTAAGTCGATCCCAAAAATGCAATTCAGTTTTTCAGCTTTAAGCCAAAAGATGACGGGCCTCGTAGTCATACTGGTATATAATTAAAGCAAATGTGTTTTATGATTGCTCTCGAATCAGGGTTAAGTACCTGTCCTCATTTGCATGCCGTGCAATTCTGCAAACTGGCAATCCTGCAATTATCCCATCGCCAGTCGCAAGCGACCACACAGCGGATCTCGGCAGCTCATCATCGGCCTCCTCCCATATCCCTCGGTTACCGGAGAAACCTCCCTTGAGACTCCCTCATGGCCACTGCCGTAATAACTGTAACTCTTCATCAAAATAATGTAATTATCCAAATTGTTTTCCTTGAAATTTGTTTACATCATTTCTGTAGTTCCCCGCGCGAGTTGGCAAAAAAAAAAAGAATCAAGGCAAGCCGAAACGAGTAGGCAAATTACCTATTCCCTATAACGAATAATAAAATACTCTGTTTTGTTGATAAATATCAGTAAATATAGATTAAAGAGAGCAGATGTGGGAAAGATATGGACTACAGTCAGAAATTAAGGATAATGGAAAGACCAAAAAATGGACTTCGGAACTTCTTAACTAGGAT